GCACCGCTGCTCGCGGGTGCGGGTGAGTAACTTTGAAGGGGCGCTTGGTGAGGAAACCGCCGATAAAAAAATTCGCCTTTGCTGCGTTTCACACTTGCGAGGCGTCCGAAGTAGCTCTCCGGGCGGAGCCGCTGCGGTCCCGTAGTTCGGTTCATCACCGTGGCTGGGAGCGGCAGCGTTTTGGGTTTGCAAGTCATGTATTACACCATCTCTTCAGTGAAGCAGTTGCTGGAGCCAGCGGCGGTTCTTCGCCTCCTGCCCCGGGCGAGCTCCGAGGGGTTGGTAAGGTCCCGCCGGAGGCCCCGCTCGGGCGGCTGCCTGGGGGCTGTGCATGGCCCGGGTGGTTTGACAGCCCCGCGGATGCACGTCCTTGCCTACAGCTTGGCGTGTTAGTCCAGTTGGCCATCACTGCCTGCCTGCAACACAGTTTGCTCTTGTACAGTGAAACCCAAGCTGATAGACGTGCCAGGGAGGGAGGAAGAGGAAAGAGGGTGAAAGGAGGCAGTAACGTTATTCTATAGGAATTGGACTGGGTGGTAAACGCATATGATCCCTTTCATAGAATCATAGAATTGTCGAGGTTGGAAAAGACCTTTAAGATCAAGTCTGTGTGTCAAAATACCCGCTGTGCCCGTGGTATGTGTTAACAGACACCCTTGGCCTGCCAGTACCGAAGTTCGTTTCAGGATTTCTGAGACATCTTTTCTGACAGCCCTCAGCCTAGCGGGTAAGGCTGTGTAACTCACACCACCCTCTGCATCGCAGGCAGGCTAATGATGATGTTAGAGATGTTAGATGTTAATGATGATGTTAGATTTTAATGGCAGCAAGGCTTCTCTAATTCTTAAAGCACAACTCAATTATTTTGCCTGTGTTTTAACAAGTTCTGTGATTAAAAAAGCAGATGAGGTGTTTTGGCACGGCAGTGACAGTGATTTAGTTCACCTTTATAATTTGGTTTGAGGCAAGTTTTTTCTCTCTTACTCTTTTTTTTTTCTTTTTTTTCCTTTTCTTTTTTTTTTTCATTCTGGCTTCTAGCACTGTGGAAAAACTTTCTTCATTTCAAAATGTAATGGAGACTGTTTGCTTCACGGGCTTTCATACTGTATGTTCCAAGATTTATTGTTATTTAACCATCTATTACAAGAGCCACCCCCGAAGCAGTGAACTCTTCCAGAAAAATTACTTGCTTATTAGAAAATGATTCATGTCCATCCTGAACAAGGCAGTTCTCTTTCACCAACATCTATCTCAAGGCGTGAATGCCCACAGCAGACAGGGAAATGCGTCTGTAAAGTGTTTTAGCTGCGTGGGGAGCCCCGGGGTAGCTGTCACTGTTTCCATTCTCTAAATTTTAATGCCATTAGCAAGTGTGATTATGTACAAACCGCTTTCTAGGGGGTTCCTAGGCTGGATATCAGAGCAGGGCTTTGCCCT